CGAGCAACAGTTGGTGGAGACGTCGCAGGCAATGGCAAAGCTGTTTACAAATAGTGAACCGCGACGACCGACAACGAGAACATCTAGATCGCGTTCGCAAGACCGATCGCGAAGTCGTGACAGTGACAGTGGTCAGTGCTGGTATCACCAACGTTTTGGTAACCGCGCTCGCGAGTGCTACGATCCGTGCACGTAACGTCCGGGAAACGAGACGGGCAGTCGATGATGGCGAACAGCGACCCGTGCTCGATTCCGCGCCATTTGTACGTTACGGATACGTACTCCAAGGTCCAGTTTCTCGTCGATACGGGTGCTGATCTTTGTGTATATTGTAGTCGATTCCCGCCTATAGATGGCGCCGCGGCATCTGCTAGCCCGGGATCAACTATCCGAGAGTCAGGGTCCATCTCCGACGCAGCCCGATCAAGGTCGGGGTCAACTGCCCGATCCTCTGTGAACACTCCTTCCAAAGATTCTGTAGAGGTCAGGGATGATGGCCGCAGCCGCTCAGAAAATTCCTCAAATGGTGCAGGCGCGCACGCGCCGTCACGCAGCCTTGATGTCATGTTAAAATATCGCAGCAAAGTCAATACAGAGAAAATAGTTCATGCACCGAAATAAATGTCCACCCTCTAGGTATATTAACAACAATAACAGGTAAGTATCACACAAAAGTACGTAACTGTGCTCAGATATGTATACAGTACGTCTTTTGTCACTAATTTCACTATGTTTTAGGTTTATAAAGTACTAGCAAAGTCTACACTAAATGCGGTAAAAGTCTAACAAAGTTCGGGAAAATTCAACACTAAGAGTTTATCTCACACCCTGTGTATTACAAAAGTTTATAATTCTCACGCGCGTATTCTCTAGCGTTGTGGAAAAATTGTCTGTATCAAAACGTCTCTAATTTTAATATAAATGTCTATTTCATCTAGCACTCCCGATTGTTACTAACTGAACAAAGTCTTTGATAAATTATCTTTATTTTACAGGTTACAGCGGTGTATGCGTTGGCAGAGAAGTTCTGACTTACCGTAAAAGCTAACGGCATCGTCTCCGAATAGAATACGTGATATATCCTCAAGTAATCCAACACACAGGCACTTTTAACCAGAAAAAGCAGTTTTAACAGTTCAAACTGAGTTCTTTAGTTCGAGGAATCACTACAACGAAAAAAAAACACAAAGAATTGCACTCAGGTTCGTATATTACAACTAAGACGGTGTTTACCGGTCGGCAAGTATTAAGTTTTTCGACTCGAGGTGACGGCTTTGTCGCCCTCGCGATTTCCAAAACGGAAATTTGTCCCTCACGGCCACTGCCGTGGAGAACCTGGCTCGTCCCGCAACTAGCACTTGAACGGAAGCCTTCAGCTCGCGACTCACCACGCGAAATCCTTCGCAACAACCGCACTTAACAATAGGAAAATGACTTCAAGCACACCCTCGTCGCAAAAGCCTTTACAATTTACCACAAATTTTGCAAAAAAATCCACAAAATTACAACAACGTGCGTACTCGAGAATGACTATCTCCATACTAACTGTTTTTTGTTCCCCCTTCTCCCTTTTCCGAGTTGAGGTTACGCGACCACACCCAGAATCCGTCTGGGCCAATCGTGGCGCCCCCTCGCGGTTTTTTCCCGCTCCCGCGACAATATCCGCGTCGCAAATTTAACCAAATTAAATGTGAACCAAAGTTGCGGAGCTCATATTTGCATGTGTAATTAAATACAGTATATTTTAATAATATTATTCTTAATATTTTAATGGCCCCCAGGAACAAAATTAAACCCATGACCAAAAAAATAAGAAATAAATAAATAATTATAGTAAAGAAAATTCTTAAAACTAAACGTATGAAGGGTGGACAACCTCTAAAAGTACACAAATTTAGGCTTTTATTCTGTGTATTTTTTTACTCAATTTTAAGCCCATAAAATTTGAGTCAGGCCCAATTTTTGAAAAAAAACCTAATTCGCCCGGACTATATGACTTTCGAAAATTATTAAAGAAACATTTATTGCTAACCTGACCCTTACCTTGAATTGTTTCCATTTTTGCCCACTGTGCGCCGCCTAAATGAGATAGAACGCGATACAGTGCTCAAGACGAATTCTGAGAGTACGCATTAGGGACTTGCCTTAGCGTAGCGTTATCTATCCCGTTGAAAAGTTTCCTAGAGTGTGGTCGGAAATGTGTGGATAACTTAACACCGATATACCGTTCAAAGAAAATGATTTATCGGTTTTTGAACTCTCACAGATGTGAGATCGAATTATATCATCAATTCTATCAAAATCTTCTTTAGTTGTTTCTAAAGATTTATATTCGTAGATATGTATCATAGTTGTTGGCTGTCAACAGAAGTTTTTGACGTTTTGATGAGTATGTAGATATTCATTATTTTCATTAGCATAATATTATTGTGGATACATTTATTACTTGATAGTGGATAGGATAGTGCCGAGAACAAAGAAAATTTATGAAAGCTATGTTTTAAACTCTATCTTCGATCGGTATAACCTATTTGATTGCCGTGGACCTGATTAGTTCAACCGATTTCTTGACTTAGAAGCTGCCGCTGTTGCTAACAGAAAATAAACATTTCTTGGATGCATGCTAAAGCCGGCGAGTACCACCCCAGTTGCCATTGTTGGAAGCAAGATACAGCAGATAGCCAGGCGTTGCTGCCGTTGGAATCGCCAGATCACGTGTTTGCATTCAAAGAAGCACGAGAACATCAATTGCAGTATTTGCACCTGGTTTATGGTTTTGGTAAAAAGTATTGGATGTGCTGAGGTAGGAGGGTTATTATACCAATATTATTAACGCGAAGATTAATGCCTGGTTCAACGATTATGAAAAGAGATTAATGTAACCTCGCATAAAGACTATTACTGACGTATTTATTTTAATATTTTTAGCTTTGTTGTAAATAATATTTTGGTTGCTTAGATACTATATCTACATTTCTTGTAAAAGATTTGAGTTTCTAAATGTGAAATATTACTTTATTAGCTGTTTTGATTATCGCCTATAAAACTAACATATTATTTATTTACTTTTTAATTTGGTATATGTAACGAGGAAGAGTATACGTACGTACACGACTTTCGCTTGGTTGAGATTTCGTTTAAAAAAATTACCTTCGGCATTTATTAAATTTAAATCGAATATGACTACATTAGGAGAAATAGAGAAAATTGCTCATAATATTAAAAATAATGCGCTCAAGGCCGTTAAAGCCTTGCACGTGGTTGCGTATGGCAATGAGGGTGAACCGCGAAAAACAAGGAAAGCTTTACGTGCTTTTTCTGGCTATGGGTTCGACGAGGATTCTGACGAATTGATCGAGAAAATAAATGAGGTTAAGAGAAGTTTAGGGCTAACCGATTTTATTTCAATTTGTCACATATTAGACCTTGATTATGCCGGTACTATTGAAGCGTTAGCAACACGAATCTGTTCTTTTTTAAATGACTTGAGGATTGATGATAGAAAAGAGGAAGACGAGGAAGAAGATGATGAAGAAGGCGAAGAGACGGAAAATGAAGAATGTAGAAACGACGAAGATGACGGAAATGTTGGAGGGGTGCAGACGGTTCCCCGAAGAGCTAACAGAGATTCTTTTGCTTTAACATTCAGAGATGTCGAGGATAGCATAAGACCATTTGATGGAAAATGCGGAATAATGTCACAGTTTTGGACAGTGAAGAAAATTTATTGAAAAGAACTTTTTTAGAAATGTTTCATACTAAAATAATTTAAATAAAAAATCAGACATTAATAACTTAAGCAAAATTTATACTTACATTTTAAAAATTGAGAGTGAAAATAGTTCTTTACAAAATTCAAATTTGCCGCCAGAGTTAAGGTTGGTAATATAGTTGGTAATATTAAATGTTACTATGTTTTCTTTTTGGAATTTGTATTCAAGCGTCAGTAACGGCTGAAATTGTTTTATGTCTGTCCACATGCATTTCGATTTTAAATTTGTTTGTTTATAATAATCATAATTGAGGTTTTAAATGTTTTTTATTGTGTGCGATGAAGCCTCTTTTCAAACTAATCTCATGTTAGTAAGTATTTTTACAAAATGTAATGTATTTTGTTTGTAATATGAATCTATTGTAGATGTCTTGAAAAAGGAAATAAACATTTCCGAAAGCTCGATGATATAACGAAGAGTGTTTATTTTTATTCTTGGCCACTTCATTTTTTTCCGACTGCAACCCTAAAATACTTTTTCAACGTTTGTATCAACTAGTCAGTCGTGACTACCCTTTTGCTTATATATTGTTATGGTGTAGTTATGTGATACTTCTTCTATGTGTTTATATGAGCGCCAAATTAATTTTAAATTAAGTTTTAGTGTAACCTGTAATTTTACTTTTTAGTGTAGTGTTGGTTGTATACTTTGCCCTGCTAACTGTAGACCCTGCTCAGAGTTGGTTCAATTCAAACTAGTATTCTTCCAGAAACCATGCAAACTAACAACTTAAAAACAAGAGATGTTTAAATTAATTTATTAATATCAATCTGGTATTTAATATAGTATATCAATGTTTCAAATAAGAAATGTCACACAAATTGTCAAATATTTTGAAGTTCTTACAATGTTTTGACCACTTAAAACAAGAATTTATTTCGATCTGTATTACTGGTTGCCTTTTTGGACTTAATTTATATTTACTCGTGTAATTTCTTGTTTTAATGTGTTCCTCTTTATATCTAATCTTATGATCTATAAATTTAAATAATTGGCCAAATATTTGGATAATGCTTGATATATCACTGACTTAAATTTGTTTCAACTGATTGATTTTAAATATAGCAAGTTTTTAAACGAATTTTACTGTTAGTCTGTGCACAAATTTTATACGACAATTAAAAGAAAGAAAGGTACCTTTTCTTTTTATATACCGGTTTTTATTTGTTTCCTTTCCTTTCCTGTTTCAGTAGGTGCTTGGACACTATCTGCTACACCGTTTTCTGATTAATTTTCTTGTAACCTGCCACTGATGCTGCTCCTCTGGCCTCTTATTTGTCTGGTTTCCTGGACCTCGCCTGTGATCGTCTTTCTTTCTCTTGGCTGCTGGCTTTCCGCTTTCTCTCTGCTGCTGTTGTGTATAGTTCGTTTTCTTTTTGCTGCTTCGACTTGTCTTCCGGATTCTTTTAATAATTTTCTATAATACTTGACGTCTCTCTCTCCAATTTCTTGTAACTAATCAATAATAATTATTTTTTTTTTCCCTACCTTGATTTTGGTTTTTCCTCTGTTAAGGTCTTTTCACATCTCTCGTTCTGCTTTCTTTTTACTTGCCGTTTTTTTTTTCTTTTTCACTCACCTCACTTCACTTAACCTTTACACTTATACCCTATTATAGTTTCTTAACAATCTCCATTTACATTCCACTTCAAAATATTTCTCATTCTCTACTCTTATGTTTACTATTTGATTCCATGTGAATCACACTTTAAATTTCTTTCTTTCTTTAAATTTCTGACATTTCTTTGACATATTGATTTGACCAAGATATGACATATCTTTGACCCTTAATAATTTTTCCTACTTAATATTATACCATATACTATAACTATTTATAAATACTCTAACATTTTAACTTTTATTAGATATCGGTAACGGATATGATTCCTAATACTGATTCAATACTAACAACAAATAATAACCACTTCAAACCATTATATTTACTGCTTTGTCTTTTAAATAGACCTTTGATTTACATTTTGATTTGTTCTCTCATATCTGATTTCATTTCAATTTCCCAAATTTATTTGCAAATTTTATTGTTATAAGAAAATTTGTCAAATCAATTTTTATTATACAATTTACACTCGATCCTCGTAGTATGGTTGTAATTGATCCACATTATATATTATTATTTCATCTTTCAACAAGTTACCTATTTCTTTTTACCTTTTCCTTGTGCATATATGGTATTGACTACGACTTTGCTTTAAAATTCTTAATATCTTTACTTCTATTTTATGAATATAACTGGTAGCTACTTTCACTTCATTTGAAACCACTCCTTTCTACTTCTTTCAACAAATCTCTTACCTATTTATCATAATTATCAATAACATTTATTTTAATATCATTTATATTAAATAATTCTTCATATTCTTCATTATAATAAAATTCATCATCCTCACTACAAAAATTAACTTCTATCATTTCCCTATCTTTTTCCTTTACAATCATTCCTTGTTCACTATCATTCATATTTATAACTTCATTTATTTCTTTGAAATCTACCCATATATCATTTATGCATAACTTTCTATTTTCATAATCTAATTTAGCTTTGTATTTGTTTAAATAGTCTGATCCTAAGACAATGTCCATGGTCAGGTTAGGTACTATTAAAAGTTGAAATACTAATTTGTGATTATTTAATTCTAAAGTAATATCTAGCATTTTGTTGACATCATACAGTTTTTTATTATTAGGACCTACTAATGTTAATCTATTTACTTTAATTATGTGTTGATTTAAATTTTGAAATTTTTCTACTATGCTTTGACTTATTAATGACGCTTCAGAACCTGTATCAAGTAGTATATTTAAATTGGAATTTTGAAATTTGGAATTTACATAAATTAAATTGTTATTTTGATTTATTATTACGTTTTCATCTAATGTTATAAATTCTCGGGGATGCATATAATTACAACTATATAATTTACTTAATTTGTCTGGCTTGCATTTTACTAAAAATTTTGAGGATCGTTTGTACTTTGTCTTACCGATTCCCTGTCTAAAGATCTGGATCTCTGTGTTTCAAACCTACCATCCTCATTTATGGGCATTTCAGCTCGTTCTTCTGATCTACTAGGACTTCGTCGTCTCTGAAAATTCACTTGCCTTCGAGGCTGTACATCTTCTTCCCCTCTCGATGGTTGATACTGATTACGCCGTGGATTGTTATATGCATTTTGTCGAAAACCATGGTTGAAATCATTATTATAATTGTTAAAATTTCTATTATTATTAGGATGAGCATTTTGATTACGTTGATTATCGTAATTATTACCAAAATTGTTATTATTGTTGTATCGATTGGTGAAATTATTATTATTATTTCGAAAATTATTGTTAAAATTGCCATTATTTTGATTATAGTGATTATTTTGCCGAAAATTATTGTGGTTTCGATTATTATTAAAATTGTTTTGATATCTATCATTTTTTCTATTACCATATCTTATACTATTTCCCTGATGATTACTTGAATTTTGAAAATTGTTACGATTCATGTTACTGGAATTTTGATAATTACTAGGCATATTCCTTTCTACTCGAGTTAAATAGTTACATATGCTCCATGGTTTTTATGTCGTGCATTGCAATGGTTTCTGCTATCTCTTGTTTGAATTGTCGAGAGATATATATTACTAAATCTTGTTCATTTAATTTTGGTGTTAAGTACTGAGCTAGTGAGTATAGTCTAAGTGCATAGTTAGTCAGACTGTTGGACATTTGTGGATTAAATTTCCCAAAATATAACCGTTCTCTTACCATCATTTGTGCATTGTCACCCCAAAAATGTTGTAAGAATCGATGTCTTAATTGTTCATAATCTTGAACATCATTCTCTATGCCATTGAACCATATCAGTGCTTCTGCTTCCAAATTTTCTCTCATAATTTCCTTTATTCTCTCTAATTTCGTAGCTTCATCTAATCTTCCTTCTTCTATTTCTTTAATTCTCTGGTTAATAGATTTTATAAATACCATTGGGTGTAAATTATTTATATTCCCTGTAAATTTATGTAATTTTCTGTCTCCTTGACAAATCCATCTTGTAACCGTTTCACCTTCTCGTCCTTTCAATTCTCTTACTCTTTCAACTTCTTTATGGAGTTCTTCTATTTGTTCTTTTGTTCTTCTTCTTTCCAATTCCATCTCGTTTCTATTTCCACTTACTCTATCTTCTACCTGTCGTTTCACTTGTTCAATGTTGTGTGTATTTTTGGTAACGTTTACTCCAATATTTCTCATTTCATCTTCCTGTTTCCTTATTGTTTCTTCTATTTCCATAGTTTTATTCGCTACCATTGCTATTTTCTGTTCTGTCTTTTCTATATCTCCTTTTAACTCTTGTTTCCATGTTTGTGTTTCCCGTCGAATTTCTTCTTTTATGGCTTGTACTTTTTGTTCAATTACTTTTACCATTGTTTCCATATCTTCTTTTCTTCCTTGTTCAAATCTAATTAAATCTTCTTTTCTTCCTTGTTCTAATTTTTGTAAATCTTCTTTTCTACCTTGTTTTATTGTTTCCTCTAGTCTTCTTCTATCTTCTTCTTGTCTTTTTCTATCTTCTTCTTGTATTTTTCTATCTTCTTCTTGTCTTTTTCTTCTAGCCTTTTCTTTTTCTTCTAGCCTTTTCTTTTTCTTCTAGCCTTTTCTTTTTCTTCTAGCCCCACGTTGGGCGCCAATTTTGTTATGGTGATGTTATGTGATAATTTTTCTATGTGTTTATATGAGCGCCAAATTAATTTTAATTGAAGTTTTAGTGTAACCTGTAATTTCAATTTTTAGTGTAGTGTTGGTTGTATACTTTGCCCTGCTAGCTGTAGACCCTGCTCAGGAGTTGGTTCACTTCAAACTAGTATTCTTCCAGAAACCATGCAAACTAACAACTCAAAAACAATAGAGGTTTAAATTAATTTATTAATATCAATCTGGTATTTAATATGGTTTATCAATATTTCAATTGAGAAATGTCACACAAATTGTCAAATATTTTGAAGTTCTTACAATGTTTTGAACACTTAAAACAAGAATTTATTTCGATCTGTATTACTGGTTGCCTTTTTGGANGCTTAGGCAACCAACATTGCACATTACTGCTGGTACCGTTAAATAAAAATCTCTAACTTGTAACGCTGATTTGTTGAATAAATCTCGGGTAAAGTTACACCAATCACCAGCCGGTACAACCTAATGTTATGTGTTGACGTAATCTCGATCTTGCCATTGGCAACGTAAAAGAAATAAAATTACTGTTCCAGACAAAGTTACTAGTCACGGGGCTTATAATCATTTATGAAGGCCCCATTGTATATTTCATAATACATATAGAGATTATCCGGATAAAACATGCAAGGGTGTTCGTATTTAATTTTGTCAATAAAACTGTACCGCCCCAAACGTTGCCTTGGAAATACATATGTTTCATTGGTAGTTCCCTTGGGTTTTAGACCAATTAACCTTAGTACGATTTAGCTTTTTTCAAAAGTTGTCGGCTGAAGCATTTTTGATTTAATTTTAAAATAATTTGAATATATTTCAATGAATATTTTCGGGGAGTCGACTATAAATATTAACTTATTTCGCGTTTGAAATAGGTAAATTTATTAAAAATGTCATACCACATCGTTGCTTTTTATTTTACTGTGGGAGTTTTTGGAAGAACACAATTAAATTTTACTTTTATTTTGATGAATTTGTTACAAAATGAAATGTTTTTTATGATTCATGGTCTGAAAAATTGGCAGGTGTCATTTAAATTGGACGGGAGTAAATCTGTCTAAATCTTAAAAACAAAATTTCGTTGCAAAGTAAAAAAGGTAAAAGTAAAGGTGTTTTATCGGTTTTTGTAATGTGAAGTCGTCAGCTGTTCATGTGTCCAGTGCGATGTTGTTTTTTCTATCTCTTTTGGTCCCGAAGTAGTGGCGTGGCGTCACCATCAGTGTCGTCGTCCTAGAGGTTGATACCAAAAAAAAATACAGATTGTTGATTGTGGATTGGTGCTTATCGAAAGAGAAGAAAAGGGTAAATCTTTATGAATTTAATTGCAATACTGGACTATGCTTTTACACTTGACCCAACGCTGTCACTTCACGCCATGCAACAAAAATGTATATGCAGTACAATGCAATTATTCTTTGTCTATACGAAGGTGCATAACGGTGACCATATCTTTTTTCAGAAAAAATGTACAAAATTTAGAGAAATAAAACGTAAATGCAAAAATATTTTATAATTGCAAAATATATCTTTTTATTATCTGAATGCACAGTGGGTCAATGTTTAAGTAAAAGTGCCAAAAGAAATTAATTGAGAACAATATATTTGTTTAAAAACAGTAAAAAAATAAAAAGCTTTGATATTGCACAAATAGTTGGCTTTTATAGTCCTTAATATGTGATTAAAATTTCAGACCGATTCATCCAATAGTTTTTGCAAAATTCTAAATGTTTATCCCAGAGGCATTATTTTTGCAATAACTTGATAAGCAAAATTATCAAGATATTTTAATTCTGTGGGTGTTATATGAAAGAGAAATACTTTTATTGGAAGAAATTATTTTATTGCAAAAAAATTGTTTTTTACCACTGCAAAAACGTACCACAAAAACACTGTCATTTTTGTCTTATAAACAATTAGAATTAATTTGTTGCTATTATATTTAGAGAGATTATTTTTCCATATTCGTAAAGCTGGTATTTTTACACAAATTTAAACGATAGCTTTGTAACAGCATCTTTGAGAATGCTCCAAATAATGACTTCGATACAAGATTACTGTGAGTCAGTGGTGGGGGAACCTACAAATCCACGAGCATATTGATAGAGAAAGTTATATCTTTGGAACTTGTTGACCGATTTTGATGTTTTTTTTTAATTTGGGTTACCTTCTTGCGTACATCACAAATATGCATTTTGTTAATCAATAAAATTTAAATTAATCCAGTAATTTGTTTAAGCATTAACAAAATTTTTTTTGTAATGGAACATTATAGGAATGATTAAATTAATTAATATTGAGATTAACTAAGTATTTTGTTTAAACTTTTACCAAAAAAAAATTCTTAATTATCAACATTTTCGGAGTTATTTTGACGGGAAGTTAAATATAAATACAGGTTCAATTTTTTTCTTATTAATAAATTAACATTTAAATAATTGAATAATTTGTTTAAACATTAAAACATTTTTTTATGTATTGCTATTAGATTTTTGATAATTTTATGTTTGAATCTAAATAAAATATTGNAAAAAAGGTATATATATATATGTATACGGGCTCACGAGCCCCTATCTCTACACAAAGTGACAACGGAACAATTTAACTTAATTGATGACTAATCAATTTACTAGACTTTACTTGGAATTCACAAACGGTCTTTATAGTTCAAATAAAACTTGTTTTCGCTAAATCTCGAATACTGACTTAGAAAGTTCAACTCTATTACTCGCGACACTACACTATTGTTCATAAAGTTCTGAGTGTAACACAATATATCTATAGTCTCTCAAGTCTTTCTGATATGTTCGTTCAATCTCGATAAAAAAAAACCTTTTACACTTACCCAGTGTACTACAGTCTGCTCCGGAATAGCTCGGGAATCGTCCTTGTCAATAACACTCACTCGGTTTTATAACAACAATCTAGTCAATTTATTATTAGTCAGTTTATCACTAGATTATTTGGCTCTCATAGCCAATACTAATGTTTCTTATTTTCAGATATAAAGATACTACTATTTACTTATGTTTATTTTCTTCTTTCAGGTCCAAAACTACTACAAAGTCAACGCTGAAGGCGTCCATACCACCAAGAATGCAACAAAGACACCCAAAGTTCCAGTGACGCATATATTACAGGTAAGTTACAAATAAGTTCAAAAAGTTTCTCATTTACAGGTTTGAATACGACTCCCAGGTAATTTCCCTCGCGATCGCGTCCTATGACGTCACACGTACAAATTTTATTTCCTACGCGCACTTGATTTAGTCAAACTTTAGTTACGCGATTCCTTGAACCTCCAACTCCCCACGACTGCCTAATACCCGTCAAAACCGCTCTTTCACGTGACGATTCTACCTGAATTATTTTTCAATAATCGTCCGGAAAACTCCTAACACCCTGTATGACAACTTATCAGCGTTACGAACTATTCGTTATACGAAATTAACTCTATTCTCTAACAGGCTCCTCCCAGGATACCTTAATCGCAGTATTACTCTAACTAGATATCTCCTAACTAAAACCAACGTAGAAACTCTAACTACCGTGGCTTTCGGTGCTCTCGAAGTCTACTCTACTCTCTCTAAGTCTCCTTCTAAGTCTGCTTTAAGTCTGCTGAAAACATTCCGCGGCTCCGATCTTAAATAATAGGTCGGACCGATAGGCCCCGCCCCAAAACGCCGTTTCCACCAATCCTAGGCTCGTATTTTCTGATACGTTTAACAAAACTAACGACTAAAATTTTCATCTCGCATTTCGCGGATCACGGTCGTCGTCGTCGCGAGACCGTGACA